ATGTCATCCAATTTTGGTAAAACATTCGCACAGGTACTCTTTTTCCACCCCTTTTTTGTCAGAGAGCTTATGTAAACAGTGTGTGACGGTTGTAATTCACACTGCCAGGTTTCCAGAAACAAGAGCAAGAGGTATGAAACAGCTGCTTTAGCTGGTGCCTCTGCTGTCAGGAGTCCAACATCTCTTCAGCTGTGAAATGACTGCTGTCTGTCTGACACTCTCTGGTGACGAACATAATCACCTCGGTATACAGGAACACACAGCTGATGTCCAAACTGATAATGAGCGAGGCTGTGATATCTGCTGTCAGCGGATGTTGGCTCAGTCGTGCACAGAGGTTGGGACTTGTGGATGGTTGGCTGTCTGTCACATTTTTCTCATATTTACTTGTTCTTCTCATACCTCCAGTAAGGACTGTGAAAAGGATGAACAACACAGGGGTATATCTGGGAACACATGCTCATTTGTGCAGACAATACACTGCACATTTACATCCCTAAGAGGAACATGAGCATGGAAATACCCCTAAAAACTAATGTCTCTGTAGTGAGATGTCCAGAGAGAGTCAGTGAGATACTTCATATCAGTTTTATTTATATAATGGCAAATCACAATAGAACTAGCTTCAGGATGCTGTATATTGTAAGATAAAGACCCTACAATAATACAGAGAGAGCCCCAACAATCAAACGACCCCCTTTGAGGAAGGACTTGCGAACATTGGGAAGGAAAAACTTCCTTTTAATAGTCAAAGGAGCTTGCAAAGAAAAGCATCTGGACTTCTTTCAGTTACTTGAAGACGTTTCACCTCTCATCCGAGAAGCTTCTTCAGTTCTAAGGTCAAATGGTGGAGAGTCCCAGATATAAACCTATTGGGAGTTTCCCCCCACAGAGGCCATCTGATCTCAGGAATTCGCATGATAAGGTGGGGCCAGGTTTCACAGTGAGCTCACCCGAAACTCTGGCTGACTGGGACCCACACCCAGTTTCACACCTTGGCTCAGGCGATTAGAGGATCATCAGGGGGTCCTTTTGTCCCTCTGTGGGGGGATACTCCCACTAGGTTTATATCTGGGACTCTCCACCATTTGACCTTAGAACTGAAGAAGCTTCTCGGATGAGAGGTGAAACGTCTTCAAGTAACTGAAAGAAATCCAGATGCTTTTCTTTGCAAGCTCCTTTGACTACGATGACCTGGATGACTGAGAACCTTCACAGAGACATATTCCTTTTAATAGGAAGAAACCTCCAGACTCAGGGAGGGGCAGCCATCCTCTGACCAGTTGGGGATGAGGGAAGTAATATTTTTGAGTGAGATAAAGCTGCCTCTTTTGTACTTTTAGATATCTAGCATGCATTTTCTTAGTTAAATAAACTGAAAATTTTAAGTTATGCGAGGAGCACACAGCATAACAGGGAATTCAGCAGAAATGACACAATATTTGCTGTCCACTGACAAATCAATCGTTCTGATAGACAGCTTTATCATTCCTGTGCTACGATGTGTAAATGCATGGTATAAGTATATCTTGGTAACACTATATTAGGTACAGATTTATTGGGTTATTATCCAAGACAATATGAGGTGGCAAATATCTACTGATGATCTGATATTTGCTTAGGAGCATGCTAACAGAATTTTATGAACCTCTGCTGGTAAACCAGAGACTCTACAGTAAACCGAAGCTAAACTGAAACAAAGTTTAGCTTAAAACACACTTACAAAGTTCAGTGGAAGGGCATACGTGGTTAATACCTACCAGAGCTACTGTCTTAGCTTCAGACATTTGGGTTAAAAATACCTGTTTCAACTAGAATCAGTGCACATGGACAAAACCTGGTCAAAAATATCCAGTGTTATGCTGGATATATGGATCATGTTTTTTGGCTTGTTAATAGCTTCTTTTGAGCCTGCAGTACGCAGGGACAGAGTCAGTGGAAGCAATACAAATACCTACAAATACACAGAGTGTGTTAGACAGAGAGTAGTTACTATGCTGCTTCTATTGAGTCATCATAAATACCAGGTCAATTGTAATTGCTAACCAGTATGTCGTTCTCTGGTCTGCCTTCTAAATAGCAACCCTACCTCACACTGAAATAAAATCACACACAGCTTCGCTCTTTTTTTCAGCCTCTATCTTTTCATTTTCCTAATATTGCCAAAACGATCACATTTACTCTCTTCCTCCTCGTGTTTGGTTTATTGTCTTCTCTTTTCATCATTTCAGCTTTACTCCTTTGTCAACTGCTTTTGTATCGTGTGTCTTACATTTTCTTGGTTTCATTAAACACAGACTTTTTCTTGGACGCAGCTAATCAAGTCATAAATTGAGAAGTAGCATCAGCGTTCTATAACAGGCAGAGCAGACGGTCACGCTGAACCAGACAGCAGCCTGCTGCATAACACCAGCGCCAGACCGTATTAGCTTTTCTTTTAAAGTCTGCTTATCTAACGTCTTCTTGTCTGCATTTTCTTCATCTTGTCATGCACCCTGCTGGACGAGCTACCAAATTAGAATTAACTGAGGAAAAAATGTGCTGCTGATGTCAGTTTGCAGGCTAGATCGTGAATAACATGTTTAGCACATGAAAGGTGGTCGAAACATGGCCACAGTTTGGTCTGGTTAGGTCCTTTTTTATTAGTGACAGTAGCTGCTTGTGGACTTTATGTTTGGTACCACTAACAACATGCTGTCCCCACATTACATGTAGGCACTGTCTAGTACTTTGTATCTTTCCTTCATATCACTCAGAGTTATTAAGAGTATTGAGGTCAAACAAATATTAATATATTACTCCCAGAAGAAAGTAATATGTTACACTAGCCATTAGTTTACTTTTGCATTACTCTGTAACTTAGACATATAAATAACACTCAGGTTATAAGACCTCACAGAACCCTACTTACTCTGTGTTAGCGTGAAGAGATGTTTGAAGTAAAGTTTGCTGATCATAGCAAGAGGCGCGTTTAATGCAAGCTTGAAAGAATCCTTAGTAATGCAATGAATGGCATAATTGAAACTGTAATGTGATAAATGCGACTGTGGTACTCAAAATTGTAATCTGATTACCGTGCTTTTTTTAAAGTTCTTGTACTTGTTTTTAAATCTGTAATCTCTTTGTGAACTTTGTGAACCCTGGGTTTGCTTTATAAATAAAACTGGTCACATAGTCCTTGGGCTGGCTGAGATAAATGTTTGGTAAATGGTAAATGGCCTGCATTTGTATAGCGCTTTTCTAGTCCCTAAGGACCCCAAAGCACTTCACACTACATTCAGTCATTCACCCAGTCACACACACATTCACACACTGGCGATGGCAAGCTACATTGTAGCCCAAAAACTTTTTTCACGTCTATGACGGCGCATTTTGTTTTTTGCTTGTCTGGCTGTCTCGCTAAATCAGGAACTCTTTGAAAGAATTTCTTAAAATTTTGCACTTGGAGTCAAAGCAAAACTGATTCGATTTTAATGATCAAAGTCAAGGACACAGTTCCACACAAACGTTCAACGGGATACAATAATACAGTGATGAAACTAGTGCATATTTTTTATGTCTAGACAATGGTGATTTTAGATTCTTCCTTTTAAAAGGTACTTCAGCTGCTCCCTTCACTAGGGGTTGCCGCAGTAGGTTGCTCCACAGTTTTGATTTGCTAGCTTTTTAAGCCTGATGCCCTTCCTGATGCAACCAGCGGGGGATTTGTACTTCCTCCTGACATCAAACCAGCAATCTCTCGCTTCTTACGTATGTGTAAACTCTCCACTATTCGGTTTCTTCTATTTAAAAAAAAGTATTTGCACTACATTATAAAATCCCATCATACTCCTTGACAAAAATTGATTTTAACACTTTAAAAGTCACGCTTTAGAAGGTGACACAAAATAAACTTGTCAGTCAAAAGATTTTTTTCAGCAAAAAGCACTATAAATCACACTGCTGTGAAATGTTTTTAACAGGTTTGAGTCAGGCTTTGAACACATTGTTAAAATTCTGTTTGCATAGAAGACTTTAAAGCCTCCAATATTTTTGTGTTTCTGTAGTTTGCAAAACACAAAAAGAAAAAATCCAAAAGGGAAATTTCACATTCAGTGTGAGAAACACGCAGATTGCTGGACTGAACAGCGAGTCTGACGGCTTGTTCTCGGGCTGCCTTTGTAGCCAGTACATGATCAATCTTACGTCAAGAAAAATGTTCGTCACACGGAAACGGTGCGCCGCGGACAGACAACGGCTGTCAAACAGAGTCAGACCGCAGACTGTCAGCTAGATGTGTCAGGGTTAAAATGTCTCCATTACTACCACCCTGCCTCTGTGTCTGTGTGCGTGCGTCTGCTTGTGGTGTATTTCTTTCAATTTTACTGTTACACACATAATCTTCTCTCTCTATCTCTGTCCTTTCATCCACTCATCTCTCCACTTGTGAGCACTCATATAACAAACTTAAAATGCACTATTACACATGAAGCTTTGATCTAGGCTCGTGTGCATCTCTTTGCATGCCACTATACTTGTAAAGAAACAGATGGATGAGAATGGCAAGTTTAGAGATGATTTTGTTTTCTTCTTATCTGATCATTTATTAGATATCTTCATTAAAAAAATACCTCGAAATGGTATGGTATATGGGTGAAATTCTCTTTCACCCATATAATATGACTTCTGTTCTGCCTGGTTTAAATGTGAGTCTTTGTTGATGAAATACACTATTCCTGTCTATAATACACACATTTTATGCTGATTTTACTATGACTGGATGTTTAAAACTGCATGTCTTTGACTCTGACAAGCAGATTTTTTCACCATTCAATTCATAAATATTTAAGACTGATTTCAGATTGTCTTTCATCTGTATCTTTTCTTCAGTTTTTTCCTTTTCCCTCTTTTTTTGACCCATTTCAAAGTGTATTTATCATTTTTAACATTACGTTGTACAAGGAAATGTTTTGTTTTTAGGATACTGTTGTAATCATCGTCTCCTTCCTGGACTCTTCCAGCAGTAGCGGAGTCAGTCTCCCTCGGCCTTACTACATGGCTGATGAGGATGACGAGCGTCCTTTTATCTGCTCCCTTCCTGTTGACAATGGCATCATGTCTTGCTCCGATGTGCCGGCCCGCCGAGAAGGAGGCAAGACATGCTGCCTGGACAAAGATGACATCCTGTATCGCCAGTCTATCGGTCTGAGCCCCGAGCCCCTGGCCAACGGCAGCGTCAGTGTAGCAGGGCTCTGTGTGAACTGGAACCAGTACTACACCAGGTGTCATACTGGGTACAGCAACCCCCACAAAGGAGCCATCAACTTTGACAACATTGCCTTTGCCTGGATTGTCATCTTTCAGGTGGGTTTTTTTGTTTTTAACCTGAGGCTGTACAAGTAAATCGAATAATTAAAACACTGTTTAACTGTGTGATGATTCATCCTCTGTCATTTTTATAATTCATGATATCTGATGCTGTTAAATAATACAAGGGAGACATATCCAGGTGGCAGTGTGTTGGAGTGATTAGCAATGTTGCCTCACCAAAATCAAGGTACTGGGTTTAAATTAGGCTGGGTGGGGGTTTATATATGGACTTCGCATGTCAGTGAAGGTTCTCCAGCTTCTCCCACAGGTTCAAAAATGTGTGGGTTTAGGTATTAAGGTAACTGATGATTGGCCTCCTGCCATCCTGCCTCCAACCGTGTCACAGCTGGGATGGACCCCTGCAACCATGATTTGGCTAAGCAGAGGAGGATGCAATGATCACAATGCATATAAATATAAATGGATATGAATGAAAATAATGGAAATATTTATATACTGTTCAAAAACAACAGCAGCAAAAATAACCAAGAAAACATTCAGAGTATTACATCAACACACTGAAACGTACTGATGGCTGTGAAACAGCTGATACCAGTTACCTCCCTGCCATTGCTTTCTTGGTTACATCTATATCTGAGCAGGAGTAATGAATTAAATTTAATCTACCTTACTTTTTAGAAATAAAAACTTGGGAAAAAAGTCTGTATGCTTTTTCTTTTTCTTTCCCAGCTAAGTACAAAGACTGGAAACAGAGAAGCTTGCATATCTCTGTCCAAACATAACAACACCTAATCAGCACTTGAATCAACATGTTTAAACTATATTAAAATAGATTAATATCAAGTTGTAAAAACACATTGTCTCCATTTTACAGAGAGTTATGGGTTGGGTTGTAGTGGTAGTGGACACTTCACTCTGCCTATCAAGGAGGCTCCTGACTACTTCCAGCAAGGATCCGTCCACAGAATAACCCTGTTTAACATTTACAAATCATCATGTTTGCATTTAGAGCATACTGTCTATACGTTTGTGAGCATTTGTGATGGATCATGGCACCCCAACCGGTCGCAGCAGGTGGCCGCCTGGTCCTGCTGGAGGTTTCTTCCTGTTAAAAGGGAGTTTTTCCTTTCACTGTTGCCAAAGTGCTTGCTGAAAGGGGGTCATGTGATTATTGGGGTTTTCTCTGTTTTCTTTGTATTATTGTAAGGTCTTTTTATACAATATAAAGCACCTTGAGGCAACTGTTGTTGTAATATAAATAAAGCTGAACTGATACCTTCAGATAGAGACAAGCCAGATGCTTCTTCTGGTTTCCAGTTTCCATTCAGTAATAAAAAACTAAATAACAGATACTGTCAAATGTCTTTCTGTTTGTAGGTGATCACTCTGGAGGGCTGGGTGGAGATCATGTACTACGTGATGGATGCTCATTCATTCTATAACTTCATCTACTTCATCCTGCTTATAATTGTAAGTAAGACATGGCTTTGCTCGTATTTACAACAACAGAGTAAATGTGGACACGTTAGAGTCAGTGCTCAGGTGCTTCAGCATTTGCTTTAAGGAAACTTGCTTAAAATGTACTTATTGAGGTTAATTGCTGATGTATTTGATTTTTGTGAGCATGATATATGACTGTGTTGAGATACCTTCCTTCTTTTTATACGACACACACACACACACACACACACACACGCACACACACAGAGCTGTCAGTGACACAGTTGAAAGCTGAGCTGAAGAATCCATCATTTTTTCTGATAAAGTACTTTTTAATCTCAATCCTTTTGTTTCCCTCATTGTATGTGTGCCGCAATATATTCATGCTTTTTGTGTGTGAGCATTGGTGCATGTTGGTGCAATATATTTCTTTTTAGCCTGTCTCGCATGTGTGTGTGTGTGTGTGTGTGTGTGTGTGTGTGTGTGTGTGTGTATTTGAAAGTGTTATAATGCAGCATGACTGCCAGTCCCGACTACTTCCCCAACCCAGGGGCTGTCTTGTCTTTTTATTATACTTTTAATTGCCTGCCTTCAGATTCAGACAGGAGCTTTTCCTCTTTTCCAGTTTCCTCTTCGAGCCAGTGCGCCTTTCATTCTTTACCTCTTAATTTATTTTAAGATTACTTTCTACATCCTTCTATCGCCTTAAATCTGCCAATCTCTTCAAGCTGCACCCTGTGTTTCTTACCTTGTCCTGTCATAGATCAGTCCATGACTCAGTTTATTCTACCACTACCCCTCTCTACTTCATCCATCTTTCCTCACTCATTCCCTCTTTTCTTTAACCTGCTTGCAACTACCCTTTCTTTTTCTGTTTTTTAAATCTCTACCACCTCCCGGCTTCCTTCTAATACTCACCTGCTGCTTTCATTTGCTCTCCTCTTTCTCACTGATGTGTATACTGGGCAATATTCATGTATCGGTCACTCTGCTCGTTCTCATTTATGTAGAAACACACAGCCGAAAATTGCCTAACTACATCCAATTTGTGATGTAATGGTTGCCTTTTCAAAAAATAATATATATATATATATAACTGATGAAGAGTGGAAGGAGGATGAAAGGAAGGAAGGAAATAACCAAAGGCTGGAGTGAGGGTTAGTAGATGATGAAATGTGAGAGAAGGGGCGGTGCGTGGATGAGGGCTGGGAGTTGTTAGACAGATGGAGTTGAGGTGTGGAAAGTGAGGAGAAGGACTGCGAGCAAGCTTAAGAGAGCAAGTGATGAAGGGGGGAGGAAGTGAAGGAAGGATGGGAAGAGGGTGGATGGATCGGTGACAGGGAGAGCAGGACTAGATGGACTAGAATGTCAGCATGAAATCAGAGAGAGGATTGGAGGACGGGCGAGAGGAAGCAACCACATGTTGGTGTCTCTCTTTGATCTTAGGTGAAATCCAGATAATTAGAGTGAGTCCCTCAGGGCTCACGTATTGAGGGAGATCACAGTACAAGGTTTAACAGTGTGTCATATGACATGTCTGTCTGTCCCTCACCAGTGGAAATTAACATGACAAACTGCACAGCCCAGCTCAGAAATAGGAAGTTTAGTAAAAACACTACATAGAATATATAGAAAAAAATACTGCAGGGAACTCTTAAGCAACATAAGCAAATGTCATTCATACATGATCTAAATGAGGATGCAAATCTCCATTAATTAAAGTTTCTCAAGATGAACGTGTTGTAATTCATTATGTTGTTGACTAAGCATCTCTGCTTGATCTTGCTCCCTGGAGTTGTTGCATATGTCTTCTCTAGGGATGGGTATCGTTTAGGTTTTATCCGATACCAGTACTTTTGAAACGGTGCTTAAACGATGCTCGAACTGGTGCTTAAAGAATGAAGAACACAAAATTGGTCCAAAAACCTCTCATGTTCAGCTGTTTTTTTGTAAAAAGATAACAATGTTAGCTTTTTGGCATCACTCTTGGCTGGAAGCAGCGCTTAAACAATGGAAAAAAAACACAAACTTTGTCCAAAAACCTCTCATGTTTAGCTGTTTTCCACTTTTCCTTTGGTCATTTTAGCCTTTTTGGCCAGGGTGAAGGGAGTATCTGCCATCAAACAAGAAGACAGCCGCATGTAACTACAACGGTGTTTGCTAGTTCACCTTACATGCATTAATTTAATAACGTGGTTAGCCTACTCAACGTAAATTACACACGGACAACATTAACCTCCTAGGACCTGGCGTCCACATATGTGGACATCACATTTTGGGTTATTTAGACCAAAATACTCAATTTTGCTCTACAAGGGCCTGATATCCACTTACGAGGACATTATACTGCTCAGAATTTTAAACAAATATCCTCATATGTGGCTCTTATTTTTCATAAAAACAAAAATAAGGTAAAAAAATAAGCTGTGGTAATTCTTTGTTTTTACATTCATCAGGCCCCAATATGCCCAAATATCAAAGAGAAATTAAAAATGCATGCCGTGGAAGATTTTGGGTCTTAGGAGGTTAAGGTACTCACCCAGAGAAGAACGGCTGCTGCTGCCATCATCATCCGTCATCATTTCTGCAACACTGGCAGGGCTAGGGGCCAGGACTCTCCTCTTCGGGTTTTTGGTGGATGTTGCTAACTCCGGGTCCGATAACAGGCAACCCACCCGCAGTAGATGTGCACGGTGTGAGGTCTCGCAGCAAGCTATTAAATACTGTGCATTTCTCGGCTTTTAACAAAATGCTATGCGTCGCCAGGTGTTTCATCAGATTCGAGGTGTTACCTCCTTTGCACAGTATCACCTTAAAGCACTTGTTGCAGGCTGCTGAGTTTGCATCTTTTGCTGTGAAGTACAGCCAGACTTTGACCGCTTCACCATGGGCATTTTTAATCTGTAGCTCTGCTCTAAAAGAACGTACGTACCTGGGCCCGCCTACTATGCTTGCAGAGGTAAAATGATTGGCTAGAATCCAAAGTGTATGACATCTCAGGAAAAAAAAAAGCACCAAAATAAAGCACCGAAATGTGCGCTGCTTTTCGGTCTAGTTACTACCGTTTATGTCAGAACCGGTGCCATTACCGGTACCCATCCCTAGTCTTCCCCCCATAGAGAAAAGATTTAACTGCCAGCCTCTTGTTGGCTTTGTTTCGGCATGTTTCAAGGCTTGTTTCACAAACAGGCTTAGTGGAGGAAAGTGATTTACTATTTACATGTTAAAAGTTCTGCTCACATCACAGGCGTGTCCTCATCTCCCTGGGAAACAGATGAGGAGACTTTTCATCATTCTTTCTTTAATGCTGCATGACACCATGTGCTGAGCGATGGAATACAGCAAGCAACAGCAATCAAGACCGAGAAAGACAGAGGTGCCAGCAAACGAGAGAGATATAAGTTCAGGTTGCGTTTAGATGCTTTGATGATTTCACTCACGTAACATGCATGCAGATTAAGTGTGCAAAATTGAATTGAACTGAGAGCGCAAGAGAGTGAGTACAAGAGAGTGCTAGAAGGAAGCTAGATGAAAACAGCCGTGAGAGAGAGATACAGAGACCGAGTGACAGATGGAGAGACAGATGAAAAAAGTGAGATAAAGATGGAGAGAGTTAGAGAGATGCTTTGCAGTGATTACCATCATGTAGAGCAGTTTAGACAAGAGGACTCAGTGGAATTAAAGGCTTTGCATGGAAGATAGTTTGGCCCTGTGGAATTAAGCTTTGACATCTACAAATGCCATCCTCAACCTGTTTTGTTGCAAAACTGTAAAGCGTAGTAATCCTCCTGATTTGACACTTTTTAATCTCACCTTCTGTGTTCGCTTATACCTGGTATTAACATCGAGCTCGTTTGCATATATGGACATGTGCCACAACACAACAAGAGAGGATGTCCTGTCCTGTTACTGTATATTTTTAAGGAAAGTCCACAGAGTCATCAGCAAAATGTAGTTAAAATATTGTGTTTTTAGGAGGAATCCACCGAAATCTGGGCTAAAAACATAGTTTGTAATGCCCACATATGCACATTGTGAGTTTAAAACAAATCATTTAATACACCTCATCTGTGTACCCCTTCTTCTAACAGATACTTTCAGTGTCTGCAATAATCTGCTTCAGTCCATGCGTGTCCTGGCGATCCCTTTCGCATAAAAGAAAGCAAGAGACTGGTTGTTATATGTCATAACGTATGCTCAAAAACAATAACTCCAGAGTTCAGCACTACATTTCTGAATCACAATTGGACCTGAAGGCCTTGCAGAAGTTGCTTTATTACACATCACAGCTTTTTTATCGTCGTGTTTGTTTTTCTGAAATCATTTGTGTGTGTTTATTGCCTGGGCACTGGAACTATCATTATGAGGTTCACAGAGATGTTGATGCAGAAAACCCCTCAAAGGGCCTCAAAAAACCTTGATACAAACAAATAATAAAAAGATTAATTTGTTTCAATATGAGCAGTTTAATAATCTGTCAAATATGACGCAATGTTCTGCCATGGGCATGTATGGCAGCCATACATGCCCATGGCAAAACATTAATAAACACAAGTGACCAGTTAGCAGATTCTACAATTCTGCAGTGTGCAGGGTGCACTCTGTGCTCAGATTCATCCAAATGCTGCAAGCCTGATCTGATGAAGCTTTACAGTAAAAATGCATAATGAGCCAAAGAAAACAGCCTCAGCTAATGTGGACTTCACCATTTTTGTTGGTGGTCATTTGATTGCGTTCATTTCGGGGATATCACTAAAAAGGAGTCTTTTTAGCACTGGCTTGATCTCGGTTAACGCTGTGTCTTTAGCAACAGTACTACACATCTGAATATCGTTACTATTTAATCATTAGATTTGTCTGTCTGCACGTTGGTACTCAGTGTTCAGTGTGTGCTGGAACAAATGCAAACTGCACCATTGGAAAACTGCACTGTACCGAAAGTCCATTTTGCCGTGGCTACCATTTGGAGTGAAAAAAGCACAAAACCAAATAGTAAATGTGATGCACTCCCAAAGGTTTACAAGCCTTTC